TTGTGCTAATCGTAAACCACATTATCGTAATATGTACCTACCTATGTAGAAATGTCGTGAAAGATATTGCGTGATGCATCGAAATCGAGACGAAATCGAATGACGGAAATCGAGATCGATCTCCACAAGCTTACTCTTCTCACGCAGATCGAATTAGACACGAAGAAATCGAATCGCCTACCCTACCTTGAACGACCACTTTTTTATGCGGATGAACCCATGCAATCTTCGGCTATAACCATAAGGCTATGGTTGTGTGGCTGCGCGCAGATTAATCAATCGACAAGCTTCGTTTTACTTAAGCAACGCTTTTTAATTGCGCTAGCTAATCGATCGCGTGTCGATCTTTGTTTTCCGTGGGAAACAACGCGATGGAAACTTTATCCTTGAAACGAACGATCGGTTTCCGTCGACGAGGTGAACGTGTATGCATTTGGACCAGTCGAGGTCTCTTCCTCGATCGACCGCAAAACCGCGAAACCAGCAAACCACCACCTGAAGATTCCATTCTTCCCGCAGGAATATTACTTATTTTTGCATTGCGTAATTAATCTATCAGGATCAAGAAGATTAATCGAGTAGCCCGACAAATCAGACTCTCTCATTCTCAGTGAACAGTGAAATAATTAAAATTCCAATTCAGTTGAAGGACACTCACGTCACGGTTCCATTGAAGGATATAAGGGATCGGTGTCTCGTGCGGAAAGTCCAGATCGCAATTGAACACAGCGTATTCTCCCACTCCTGCGCTTAAATAATTCGGCTCATTGTCTTCCTCCAGAATCAAGCTATAACTGAATGCTGAAAAAGAAAAAATATGCGCTGCATCAAATCGCCTGACTGCCCAAAAATCCTTGGATACGCGAATAACCTATACATATATTATCTACGTATTTATATTACCAGATGATTGAAATTCTATAAAATTAATCCCTTGCACTATGGTGAAACTCGGAAAAAGCCAGGCCAAACACGGCCGCCTGAATGGGTGGGGATAGGAGCCGAAGCGGCGCAGACCGAGTGTCGGAAGTTCCGAGTGGAACTTGGAAATCTCGATCACGAGTCAGACAAAATCAGTGAAAATAGTGCAAGGGGTTCCTCGTATCCACCGTACACACACTGTGTGGTATGTTAAACAATTTATCCGAACACTTTCTCTTCCACTACTCGGTCGAAAAGAATTATTCTGCTTAAAAGAAGAAAAGAAACAAAAAGAAACGAAAAGAAACGCGCGCGATCGTTAAGCAGAATAATTTAATAGCAACGATATCTCTCACCTTGACAGCAGAGGAAGATCCCCAGCAACTGATGAATCCTCGTCGCCTGGCACATTTTCTCACAGCCGTGATCGTCCTGTCGTGTGTCTAGCGACGAAAGTAGCGCGTGTACGCGATGTCAGAAGCAAGTCACAGCTCGCGACCGACCACGACGACCACGAGCACGACCACGACGACGGCGAACGGAACACGGTAGCAAAACAACACATCTGTCATCACCCACACTCATCAAGCATCGGCCACCACCAGCCTCGATTAAATGCCACTATCGCGATCCTATCGAGGATAGATACCTTCTACAATCGAATGTTGCAATCTATGTTCAACGCATCCTTTTCAACTCTTTTTCTCTTTTCTACTATTTCTTTTCAAAACGATTCACCACCGATTCTAGTCAACGTTCATCCTCGAATCACTACTTTTCTACCCTCTTCGAAATCTCTTCGAATTTCTCTTTCAAGACGATCCTTCGAGTTGTGCTCCGCCGTGAAACGTTCGATCACCGAGTGGTCCGCTGGTTGCGGTGATAATCGCTCCGCCTCGCTCAAACCGAGCGGATACGACGCCGAAGAGCAGCAGTAACGAGCAAACCTATGGGTAGGGGTAATGTTAGTGACTGGAGGAGGGTACGAGGCACGATTTTACCTTCATCCCGTTCTATGTTTTTCTAGCACCGTTCCTCTTCTACAATCCTGACACACCCACCATCGAAACGCGTATAGACTATTTTACCGAACAACGATGGATCTTGTTTTGCTGTAAGATGAACGAATTTATTATATTACCTTTACTATTTCGACTATTGAATTGACCTAATTTGTAAAGGGTTAAATCTAGAGGGGTACAATTTTATGCACCTTACCGCGTGCAATTCTATAATAGCAAAGGTAAACGCTTTCAACTTATCAGTATAAGTATATTTTTATTTAGAATCGTTTCTCGCCTTTCATTAAGCCCCTCGAATCCCTGTCCTTTCAACGTCGCTTCGTGGTTGAAGCCGATTCGAGGGAATTAAGGGATTCAAGCGAGGATCTAAGGTTCAAGCTGAAAGTGTGTGTGTGTGTGTGTGTCTGTGACTGTAGAAACGAAGAGAGACTTTACGACGATTCTCGAATGGGGTCCTAAATTTAGCAACGTTTCATCGCATCGATTCGATCTGAATTTCTCGCAGGAAAAGCACACGTCTTCTTCGAAGTAAGTGACAAACAACTTAGCACGATAGATGTAGTTTCTTATTTCAACGATCCCTTTTATTTGTCCGCCCACGTCGCGTAATTATTACTGCTCATGGCGCTCTCGTAACGAAGACGTCGACTTCCGGCCGCGGATATTTACCAGCAGTGTGCCACGTTCGTCCACTTCACGGCTCCGTTTTTCGCTTTCAACTCTTTGCGTCTCTCTGAGGAAAATTAGTCATTGGTGATAAAGCTCACTCGTTTGGCTTTTAACAAATTTAAGAAGAAACCAAAGATTCTCCAGTAAACTTAATGCTTAATCATTTTCATTCAACGATAATTGAGATGTTGAATGAATTTATGCATCAACCTGAAAAGCGAAAGGGCCAATACTAAGATTTAAACGAGCGTGTTCCATTTCCAGATCAAATCTCGATCAGTTCGATGACGACGACGACGACGACGACGACGACGACGACGACGACGACGAAACTGCATAGAGTCGCGCGCCATTTGCGTGGGTGACCTCAGATTACGTGACATCCGTCCCTTGCCGCATTATCAGACTGCCCACAGCCTTGTCACGCTGTTGAGATAATGGATCCATTCGCATGGATCACGATCCAGGATTGGACGTGCCCGGGACACAGGAAATAAATGCGTGCATAATGATACCGACCGTATTATTTCATCGACGAACCGTGAAAGGGAACAACTTGTTCCTGGTCCACCTGCCATGCTACCAATAGGGATCGTCTGCTGCATCATTTTTTCAGATGAATTTTTCTTTTTCCATCAAAAGATATCTCAGTTAATAAACATATAAATGATTTCAACCCTTAGGTCACGATATACGATTAATTTTTAAGGTCAGGATTGAAGTAGTTTATTAAAGCAACGCTCGCACGATTTCACTGCAATACTAGTCGACTCGAACGCTCCAATTTTTCGCGAACTCGCAACGCTCTGTATCGAGGGAAATCATGGAAATTGCAGTAATTCCCGGTAATCAGTGCCGTAGACGCGTTGCGCAAATGCCCCTTCTTCGCGCGTTTAATAGCGAGTTAGACGCGGCAGTAGCTAGTCTGTCAGACTGAGATTCCACGTTCCTCGTCTCCAGCCTACGAAAATACGAATCCTCACGCACTGGCCTGATTACGTTGAATTGGCAATGATCTCGTTGCCTTGGCCAACCACGATCTCTTGTTTCATCAATCAGCTGGGGAAACAAAAAAATAGGATAGTTTGCCAACGTTGATGAACTTTTAATGGACAATGACCCATACACAAGAAAGATGTTGTGTATGAATTCATCGAACTTAGTTTTTCTGTCATTTTCAAATGCTAGAATGGAACTAGGGTGAAGGTAAACTTCTTGCCATATAAAGATCTTCACGAGAAGATTTTTCCTTTCAAATGTCGCTTTATTTTTCATTTTATTTGATAATAAATTGTCTACAATTTGTCCTAGGTTAGTACGTCTTGGAGTTCTCGTGGGGAGAGGTTCGCGAGAAAGCACAGGTCGATCAATAAAACGGTGAAAAATGTAGGTGAATAGCGAAAGTACTCGCGAAGCTGACTAACAATGAGAGAACGAAAACGCTTCTCTGCTTTTTTATCTCACGCACTCTCCATCTCTCTTTGTCCCGTGTCGCGCGTATAGAGAACAAAAAATAGACGATACGTGAAAAAATGATTCGATTATAGAAACAAAAATGAAACATTACGATAAACGTTGATTTTCGAACGAAAACTTCACCCTTTGCTATAACCCGTCCTTTACGCGCGACCATCCCGGTTCCTCTCTATTCCATATCTTGAAGCAATAATCAAATTATTCTCTGAGACATTTTCGTCAGCCTTTCGTGTGAAATAACGCGATCCATTTCTCGCCAATCGAGAGTTCTGCTCCGAGGGATGTGAATTTCACTCGCCACTACGAGAAATAGCCAGATGGCTTTCAGGTACGTAAAGTGCGAATACCTAAATGAATCTCTTCTGGCGGGTAAAGGTGCACATTCGCTCGAATTTAAAATAAATAACCCGAAAGAAAGGTAAACGCCGCGAACGCAAAGAAATCCGTGAACAAGAAATGGATTAGAAGTAGAAAAGTAGAAGAAGAAGAAGAAGAAGAAGAAGAAGAAGAAGAAGAAGAAGAAGAAGAAAAAAAAAAAGAGGATGATGATGATGATGATTACAACGACGACGACGACGACGACGACGACGACGACGACGACGATGATGATGATGACGATGACGATGAAGACGGATGTTTAGGAACGAAAGGAACCAGACGCAAAAAGAAATTAATAAACGTTAAACACGAACAAATTCACGATTCAACCATATTATTCAGTTTTAACACGCGATCGCGCGAAACCATTGTCCTTTTTCTTCGTATCGTTTCCACGTGTATTCTTCGTCTCGATCATCTCTGTATACACACACGTATATATATAATTATTTATGTATATATAATATATATATATATATATATTCCTTGGTAAAATTCTCTGTCTCTCTTTTTTCTCTCTGACTCTTTACATGATTTTTTTTTTTTTTTTTTTTCGAGGCATACGATTGCGTTTCAACGTACCATTCGTGGCAACCTACGATCGTCGAGAATCGACATCTTCATTTTCCTCTCGATTCAGCGATCGTTCACTGTCATTCTTTCTTTCAGCGCGTCTTGAGATCGTTGTATCTAACTATGATATATCTACACGTTACTTATACGCCTATGTCGATTGGTTACTTGTTCTTTCGCGTTTATTTTCTTCGGACGAGGGGTCAGTGGTCGTCCCAGTGGGGCAGAATTGCAAGAAGTAGCATATTTTCCAGTTAAAGTGCCGAATATTTTACAAAAACTATTTAGAAAAAGCAATCCCGTAACCTTAAAATTTCGACTTTTCTTCTTGTTTCTTGGAATTCCGCCTCACTATGGTTCAAAAGGTAAACGTCGATCCACGATGACGATCTTTTTATTTTCCTACTTTTCTACGCGGTAGAATCGTGAGTTGTCCTCAGGTTCGATGCGAAAGGAGCGTTTTATATATCTATGTAATTGAGATCGATCGAGGTACCATTCGACGTACAAAAAAGAGATTATCGATCGATTAATATTTGTAGCTATTGAATTTTCGAGGAGACACAAAGCTACCGCGTAGATCGTGATACGGGCTTGATCGAGACGCACCTTTAATTCGATTACTATGATACAACGGGGCAACGACCGATCGAAAATTACGGCGTGGCCCGATCACGAACATACCCCTCTCGTGTATTCTCTTACATCTCGCGATTCCACGGATGATTAACGGGCTAATTAGTTTAACGAATTAGTTGTCGCCGCGTTCGTCGATCTCGTTGATTAATACACTACACGCTACGTCGTTTACGATGTACAATATCAATTAATTATCAAATTATTAATTCAATCATTAGAATTACTTTAGAATATTGGTACTCTTTCGCGTCACCCCCATGTTTCAACATCTGTTTCTCCGATTCGCTCTCCCTTGCTCTCTTCTTTTTGATACGAATTTTAATCGCACATTTCTTGTATCTTTACATATTTTACTGTTATTTCTCATCGTATCCCATTTGAACGTCAATTATACGTATTTCAACGATGGACAGAAGACATTTGTTTTCTATACATACAGTGGGTGGTTTGGAAAATTTTTCATGAAATTTAAGGAGGTAACGACGTACCCATTTCTGTATATTATTTAACAATTATTTTCTATGTTAATTTCGTCTATCGTTGAAACATATCGTCTCACATGTCTCGCGTGTCAATCATACAAGCGTGCATTCTTCCTCACCTCTTATTCTCGTTACTCGTTCCTCGGACTCTATTGCTCTTTCGTATACACCCACGCACAGTCTGTCATTCAAATACATCTCAACGAAAATTATACAACAGAGTGTCCTTCTGCCTCGACGGCATATACATATATGTATATGTATGTGTGTGTGTGTGTGTGTATATATATATATATATATATATATATCCGCGTCGTTTGCACTCGTCGGTGTTTCGCGATTTCGTCGAAGAAAGTATAGTTGAATCGTGAGTAGGGCCCTCGCTAATATATTTATAACAATACAAGTATGTATAGAATATGTGGTACAATATAAATAAGTGTTTGTACTATAAAAGATAAATTGCAAAGAAATAATATAATAATAATAATAGAAGGGGAAATTAAAACTCTGAGACGGCCCGAGAGTATTCGATTCGCTGTCTTGCGCAACAGCCAATAAAACGTAATAAAAGAAGAATGATAAGAATAAGAAGAACAAGAAGAGTAAGGAACGAAAAAGAAGAGGGAAGTTGCTTTCGATTCAAATAGTCTCGCGTTACGGTATTCGTGAGATAAGTTTAGGTCGCGTTTAACTCGAACAATTAGCCCGTTGATTTGTATCCTCGAACACTCCGTGGGCCGTATACGAGCCTCGAATCTCGACTCGAATATGATTTTTCTTTATACACAGAACGCGTTTTGGTGAAGAATTAGATGGGTCTCGAAGAACGCCCTCTCTCGCGTGTATGCGCGTGTTTCTGTTCCCATTCTCGCATCTTTCGCTCTCCCATTCAAAATATCTCTCTTCCTCACACACACACACACACAAATCTTTCAAATTTACACGTGTATCGGGTCGATGTGACTTGTTTTTTGGTTTTGTTTTTTTTTTTTGTTTTTTTTTTGTTTTTGTTTTTTTTTTTGTTTTGTTTTATGTGTATAACTTGTGTACGCGTGCGTAACATTTTTCGTTACTAATGCACGGATCACGGTTGATCACGAGCGATGCTTGCATACGCGTGTACGCTTCGCGACTTCATATCCCTGGGGCTTGGGGGCTCTGGTCTATCGTGTTGGCAGTTCGCAAAAATGGCGAAGTTTCATGCCGATCGGTGTAAAAAGGGAAAACCTTACGAGCGCGGGGGGTTGCTTACGAATCTCGCGAAGAAGAGGGTCGTACACACGTGTGCACGCAACGCCTAGCATTGGCCGTGCGTGTCGTTTCAAAGAACCTTACTTAATCTCGTTTACGTTGCTTAAGAAAAATTATTGTGCCGATAATATGTTGGGTCGCTAGCGAAACCCTAAACAGGCAGTGCAGTACGAGTGAGTCCTTAAGCAATCTCCAGGCAAGCTTCGGCCTAATATCACGTTTCGAGTCCATTGCTCGTCAATAATAATTAATTCTTTTTTGCTTTTTTTTTTTTTCTTTTTGTTTCTTTTTAAGTTTCTCGCGCGTGTGTGTGTGTGTGTTTGTGTTTGTGTGTGTGTATATATATATATATATATATAGTATGGTGATTCCATCATCTTGACCTCTTCTTGTTGCTTGCTTCGTTTTCGATTTCGTTTCAATGTGTGTTTATGTGTGTACGAACGTTTATGTGTTTCTTGCTGTTCTTCTTATCGAGTGTTTGCATTATTACTTACAATGTACGGTTAAGATTAATCTTACGTGTCGTTTAAAAGGTATACGAAGCACGGTTACACAGTTTCTTTGGAATATCATACCGTCGTGTCTTGACATTCTTTTCTGAATTTCATCTTTGTTTCTCGGTTAATCTCAATTTCATCTTTCTCTACCGTGTAGGTGAAAATCATCAGAACCGTCTGTCGATGGTATTCGCTGGATTCACTGAATTCTTTGGAACAACGATCGTGAAAGACGTTCTTCCTTGGAATTTGGCAACAATCAGACTCCGACGATCTGTCGTAGATTCTTAACGTAGAAGAATTTTAACCACGTTAACGTAGTCGCGTTGGCGAAAATTTATGTATCCTGAGCTGACGCGACGATTGTAACAGCCTTCTTTGTTTGTATAATGGTTGCCCAGCAGATATAGAATTGACTTGAAGTTGCCTACACTGGATTCTCGTACGATGATCCTCGTTGTGCTTGAACAGTTGGTCTATAAATCACAGCGTCGACGCGACTACGTGCATATGCAGTTCGCGTTTGCATTAGCTTTCGTCACAGCCGGCTGTTTACTCGACGTATCTATCCGCTGATCGGAACTATAATAGGTATTTGAAACTGAACGACGCAGGCTAAAAAGTAGTCTAATCGTAAATGTGAAGAGTGCCGTCAACAGGCGCTCTCCAGGTGCGCGCTTTGTCTTCTCCTCGCTTGCCGTTGCCGAAACTGATGAAACTCGGCCTTCATAGCTTGCACCCTTGCCTCGATGTTGTCCCTGCTGTACCTCGGCGGCTGGTGATGAACCGTGTGCACCTGGTGAATGTGCGGCACGTGGATGGTGTGTATCTGATGCACCACCGGTGGTCTCTCCTCCCTGGTCGGCGTCGAGGCGGACGTCGGGGTAGGTGTACAGGAAACAGGGTCGAACTCGTAGTGGCCGTCCACGCTGCCCGCGTCCACTGCGTTCTGTATGTGCGTGTGCCCGACTTTAGCCTGATCCTGAAGCTCGAGCCAACGACCGACCAAAGGAGGCGGTGGAGGTCTGTAAGGTGGTGGTCTCCACTCGGCTACCGTGCTACCACTCCTCGAGCTCTGGTTCTGTTGCGACGTGTTTTTACTCCCGAAACCCGAACTGCTGGACCTGCTTTCCGGCGATGTTTCCAGATCCGGAGACGCAGCCAGCTCTGGTGCAGATCTCGCGTGCCTGGCGTGCCTAGGAGGTAGCCTGGCCCTTGGCCTGCCGGCCGGCTGAGGGGGCGACGAGGTAGCCAACGGCTGAACCGGCACGAATCTTCTCGATTCGGCATGAATCGCCTTCAAGGAGGGCAGTTCTTGGCTGTATCGCTGGTGCACGGTTCGCAGCTGCAGGTAATCCGGCGGGGTCGGGAAGGAACGTTCACCGGAGGATGGCTGCCTGACGGAGCTGAGATCGCTAAAGTACAACGGCGTCCAGGGTACCTGCTGACCGCTCGGTGAACTAGCCAGAAACCTGGGCGACGAGATCGTGCAGATCGCTGGCGCTATTCTGGCCAACGAGTTCACTGTCCCGTGGTGATGATGATGATGATGATGGATGGAAGGTAGCCCTCCGATAGACACACCGCTACCCTCGGATCTAAGACTGAGCTGGCTGGTGCCGACCAACGGCCTTCGCCAGGACGACTTGAGCCGCTGCTTCGGAAGGAATCCACCGTCGTCGCTGCTCGACGCATCCAGGATGCTGTTGTTCGCCGAGCTGAGCACCGAGTCCGCTACCACGAAACGACCGTCAGCCGCGCGTGAGATCTTACCCAGCGGTCGGCCGCGGCACGAGTCCGGGGTATCCGGACTCAGGATCTCCCGCAGGAGATTCAGACCTGGTACTCGGCTTTTTCTAGGTCTGTGAGCAGGACAAAAAACGCGTTACAAACATCGCAGTGGTGAATGGCGACACCGACAACCCGGTCAACACGGTCGGAGCGAAATCTTTGTGAAAAATTAAAAATTAAAAATTAAAAAGCCACCGTACTTTGATTTATTTGCAAATAAATCTTCTTCCTTTCTTCTCACAATTTTCAATTATCATATAGATGGAATTCAAAAAATACCGTTTCAGGCAATAGCTTCTTTACGTTTTTTACGTTTTTTACGTTTTATTCTTAGATAGTTTGTTAAGTAAATTGTATAAGTTGATTATTTTCCTCCAACGATGTTGAACGCTTGTCGTGTATAGTAAGAACGTGCAACAACCACGTAAAGGAAAAAAAAAACAACACGCAACGTTAACACGAACAGAAAGGAAAACGAGGGGCTAGGAGAACAAAATAACGAAAAGGCAGACGTACAAAGTTAAACGTACATGATAATTATTAAGAATTAATTACGTGTACGTATAATAACGAATAATGGATGCAGGCGAGGGAGGCATGCTCATGCGCATTCCGGTGCACGAGTGGTCGGGCGTGAGGTGGATCGTGGGTGGGGTGGGTGTGTTGCCAGTGAGTGGATCTTTCTCTTTTTTTCTTTTCAAATTTTTTCCTTTTTTTGTGTGTGTATATATATGTAATTTTTTTTTCTTTTTTTTTCTTTTTTTTTTCTTTTTTTCTTTTTTCTTTTTTTAAGATCTCTTTATCCAATATGTTGCATTTTTTCTTTTCTTTGTTTTTCTTTTTTTCTTTTGAGTGATAGCAATCGTGGATTTAGGTGCTCCGAAACTCGTCACCTTTTCTCCTCCTTCGGGTCCGGCAGCAGGGAAAGATGAGGGAGAGAGAATGTTGTAACACAACGATTACATTCACAAAAAACAATATCGTGGCGATAATAATAATAAGAAATATAATGCTAAATAACCGAACGTTACTTTCTAGGCGGTGGTGTTTAGGGAGCAAATAGATAACGCACGGGTTCCCATGGCTCACGCGCTTTTCCCGGCAGGCATCGCGAAGCGGAAACTTTTGGTCCCTTCCGTCGAGCGTTCTCAACGCGATATACTTCAAAGAAAGGAAAAAGAAAATCGTAAATCACGATCGATAATCGACTGACGTGACTGCACGTTATACGAAAACGAACGAAAACGAACGAAAACGAACGAAAACGAACGAAAACGAAAAAAGAAAAAAAAAACCAATAAAAGTAAGTACGGGTTAGTGGATCGAAAGGGGGTCTTTGTTCGACGATGCAAATACAGGCTGAGTCATACGATTCGCACAGCTTTTAATTGTCCTTAATCGAAGATTGAAAATAATGGTGAAGGAAAATGCTGGCTGATATAACAAGCTTTTGTACCATTTTATTTGTTATCCTCAATCAATAAAGCAATTGTAATCCATACAAATGACATGACACAACCTGTACAGAAAATTGAAACGATCGGAAAGAAGGGTGGTGAAGCATAATTAAAACGAGAACGTTCATCGATTATAAAGGAGACTGAGCAAATCGTACATCGAGGATTGTCCTGTAAACGATCAAAACACGGGCACAACAATGAGAAAATCGTGTACGGATGCAGTTATTTTGAAGGGATGAAAAAGGGGGAAGGGGTAGAGCCGCAGCGAGAGCGGTTTACCTCTAATAGTTTACTTTTGCTTTAGGTCCGAGTGTTCGAGTGTGAACGCGTCTTTTTACGGCTCGTCTAAAATCGATAGACTGTAAAACAGTAAAAGAACACACATGAAAATTACTGTCAATAATTTTGATGGTTGGAAAGTACCCTGGTTGTGATGACTATCGTAATTTCGTTGGTCATGCTCGGTGAAGCGTGACATGCTACGTGAGAAAGAAAGATAGACATAGGAAAAAGTCGAAAAAAGCGAATGAATTTTACGCATAGTAACCGTTTTTCTCGAACAGTTTCGTGAACGATACCGTGACGGTGAAGAAAGAAAGGTCTAAAGGCGACAAATATACAGCAAGGATCGATACTGGCAAATTTTAGAGGCATTTTATATATTGTATTATAATAAATACTTGCTTGCCCGTTTATCAGTCATTTAAATTTCTATTAAATTACCACCAGTCTGCCAGGATCGGCTCCAGATGCTTTCAAAGAATGAAGCAAACTACCGATTGAGTTTTCAAGAAGAGTTATATCAGAGTTCGGTGCATCTACTGATACATAAAAAAAAAAAAAAAAAAAAAAAAAAAACGAAAAAAAACAAAAAAGAAAAAAAGGAAAGAAAAAGTATCTTGCGCGAAATCCATGAAATCTGAATATACACGAGCAATAGAGACCAAAACGAAGTCGATGGTTTCAGTGTTCGTTTAGTTGATCAACGGTAACGAACCATCGATTTTATTTAGATCTTTAATTAATTATCGTCTATCGACTGAGCGAGTGGCACAACGAGAGACGACAAGATTGCAATAGTGAATTAGTTTTGTGGATTGACGAATAGGAGCGAGTGAAAGAATGAATAAAAAGGATAAGAAAGATGAAAACGTCATAAGATTGGCAAATACCAAACAAAATGAAACGTGAAGAAATACAAAGTTGAACTATGGCATACGATATGATTGCGATCGAGGCGAGATTAAGAATGTGAATCAATGATTTTGTTTCAACGAAATGATTCTTGTAGACAATAAAAATTTTGATAAACGATCGATGCGATATACAGGATGTTCCAAAAATGTGAGCTCAGGATTTACAAAATATTTCGGGAACATGTATCTTCTTTCGATTTCTATAGAATTTTTACCATGATAAATCTATCATATCACTCGATAATATCTATCAGCTTACTATTCTAATAAGAACGTAACAAACACGTAAAGCTTATGGTTCTATATTATAAAGTGTGTAGAAACAAAAGAACACACGTACAAGTTTAAAAATCCTGAATCTTCCTTTGTGTTTCGACACCATGTATAAACGCGCAGGTTGAAAATTAAGGAAATCTACCATCTTGCCTCGTCTCTTATCTATGTACTCCCTAAATCCGCCGAACGAAGGTATTTTAGGGTACTGACTGGATGTTACTAGTGTGACTCCTAGCTGTATTGCCTGTATTTGATGATCTCATCTATTGTCATGACAATCATCCTAAGTAGTAGATAGTAGATGGTAGTGGTAGATTAGTAGGTCCTAGTAGGTAACATTGCAGAGCTGTAGGCCTCGCATAGTAAGTAGTAGCGGTAGTAGCAGTGGTTAACGGTGGATCGTACAGTAGGTAGGTAAGTAGTAGTAACAGTAGTAGTAGTAGTGGTAACGGATCAAGTCCCAGCAAGTAGACGATATCTCGCTCGATCGATCAACGACGACCGATCGATTGATCGTTGATATTGATTGGGTGTTGTCAGACGCACACACAAACACATACAAGTATATTGATTCGTCGACGAGTTCTTATTCTCATGATCTTGGGAGCAACCGTTGTTGGTCTCGGGTAACGTAGTAACGATGGTAGTAGCAGTAAAATGGTGGTGGTGGTGGTAGTAGTAGTAGTAGTAGTAGTAGTAGTAGTAGTAGTAGTAGTAGTAGTAGTAGTAGTAGTAGTAGTGGTAGTGGTAGTAGTAGTAGTAGTAGTAGTAGTAGTAGTAGTAATAGTAGCAGTATTAGTAGTAGCAGTGATAGTACTTGGTTTTATCTTTCAATGTGGCTAGCGGAGGTTAGGCTTACTGTTCCGCCTCTCTATGATAAACACGCTCTCATAATCTCGATTATCGAGGTGGAGCGCGTGATGGTCACGATCACGGTTCGGGGGGGCCTGCTCGTGGACCGGCTCCGAGGTGGCAGTGGCGGGGGTGGTTACTTGCGTAGGAAGTGGTGGTTGATGAAGAGGTTGTGGTGGTGGTGGTGGTAGTTGCGGATTCAACGGGCTGCAACGGGTCAGCGTCGAGACTGACTCGCCGCACGCGTTTAGATTTGTCGACCTACAGAAAACACAGAGAGAGAGGAGGACAAGAGACGCCCACGTTTTTCTTTTCTTTTCTTTCAATTATCTAGTTCTTCTTATATTCTTCACCTTTCTTACACGCGTTCTCTCGCGATAAACTATTCGCGTATATAGAGTATTTGCCGTTCGTACGAGAAACACTGATTGTGAGAGAAAGAGCTGTTGAACAATATGTCTTACAATTAAATCTTCTTTTCTAATATATAATATCATCTTCTTGATAAAAATTGTGTTACGAGCTCTTTCTCTCTGAAGTCTCTCGATCCCCGGCAGAATTCTTTAACCCCTTGCCCTATAATATCAAATCAAACTCGGGATGCAATTTGTAAGAAATATGTGTTGTAATACAATTGAATTGTAAGTTTAGTTCGGTAAAACGAGTAGTACCTATTAAATTAGTTCTGACAGATGTAATTGTTTAGAAAATCATAAGGCAAGGAGTTAACTCGCGTTGGCTCTCTTCTGATCCTTGCTCTGACCGCGATCCTCGAACGTCGATCATCGATGTTCGATCAGGACCGTGTTCGTAGTCTGCTCGTTTTCTTCTCGTTTTGCTGTTTACGCAAAAATTAGGGGATAATCGAAAGCACACGTGACTACGAATCCGGGCCTGCGAGCGATAATCTTGGCAGTGGCTGAACCGTCCAGCCCGTTCTGGATATACGTGTAGGTAAAAACGTGCATTGTCGATTCGTTTCGTGACAAACCCTGAAATGATTCACCGATAAGGGGACTTATCACGAGGGTGACAGAAATCAGTCAAGTTTTTTTTTTTTTTTTTTTTTTTTCTTTTCTTCTATACTTACATTTGATCAGATTGCAAATTCAGTTCCACGGTTAGAAGAGCAATCCCGAGTACTTTCGCGATACTTTATCGCGTCGAATCACGTAGAACGTTCGAATTAATTTTAATCCCGGGAAAGATTTATTTGAATAGCGGACGGCGTTCGAGTCACGCGCGTATCAAGCCGGCATTAATTACATTAATGCGAACGTTGGTATTTATATCACGCCGGATATACATCAGGGAATTTATAGTTTCGAAACCGATCAATCGTCGAATTTGTTTCGGATTTGTTTTGATCCAGAGCCAGATTCAACGATGGAAAGACACCCTCGCGAGAAAATCCAAGAGGAACGGAAAGAAAAGAATATGGGATGATTCGATGTGTTGGCGACTCGAGAGCAAAAAGTTGATAAAAAAAAATAAAAGGACGTCGATGAAAATGGCAAGAGGACAATGAATGAATTATCCGCAATACCTTCGATAGAAGTAGCGGTAAGGGTGAACGAACGGGAAGAAGAACTGAAAGAGGGTGGAAAAAGGTAAAAAAGAAAAAGAAAAAGAAAAAGAAAAAAAAATATGGGTGAGAGGAGAAGAAACGAGGGTGGAAAAAGAAACGAAATGGCTCGTCGCGGGGAAACAAAAGGCGACATACGATCCAGAATAGGCATCACTGCAGTCGTATTGTGGACTTTTGGATGCCACGATGGAAATCATAACAGTTGGCCGAGTACCCGCTCTGCTGCACGCGCAGAGTCCGCTTGGCGTGATTTCAAAGCTGTACACCTCGGTTATCGAGGCCGATTTTCAAATACGTACGGTTCTGCGGGAAATGCGATGATGTCGGCGAGCGTGCGTTTCCGCGCGATCGTTTTCTCGTTCACGAATGTATCGATTCTCGTTCTATCGTTCATGTACAAACTCTCTGTTCTTCGTTTCCGCTCGTTTGCGGCAACGGAAGCTGCACGCTAACGCGACGGAACACGAGCAATGGGCTCGAGCGAACCGTCTTCGATCTGACCCGACTTTTCTTCTCAGGCTCGATTAAGTATTCTTCCTACTATATTGTATATCGAATATCGAAACAAATAATAATAACAATAATAATAACAATAATAATAATAATAATAATAATAATAATAATAATAATAGAATAATAACTGAAATTGCAGCCACGTTTCCAAAAATGTCCTTTGGATCCACAAATAGATAAGTTTTTTAAAAGAATATCTCGATCGGAGCCCCGCGTTGCATTCCACTAATGTTCTACGAATTATACCTTCTCTCTCGAAAATTAAATTATTCCAAAACAAGAGAGAAAATTCCGACAGTGGTGAGCTCGAACTATTCGACGCGAATCGGATAACTCGGTGAACCTCTAGTTATTTGGTACGAAAACCGCGATGCAGGAACTATTCGGACCAGCTCGAACGCAAAAGTATCGCTCGACTGTTCGCTTTAGCCCCAACCTGGCCAACTCGATGTCCCCTACGAGTTGCCCAAGCTCTGCTCTAGCTCAAAAAGAACGTACTTGTGCACGCTCAAAGACAGACACACCCTCGAATTGGATGCGTGGATAAACAGAAACGAATCGTTCTCCAACCTCGTCCAAAATACCTCTGCTGCTGCGGTTTAGTCTGCCGGTTTTTCATCGCATCTACGCGGCTCGCGTTCTCTCGTTTACGGCGCAAGATCAAAAGAGGGTTCCTCCTTCTATTTGGTACTTGTTTTTATTTTTTATTTTTTATTTTTGGTTTTTTTTTTGCTTCGTTTATCCTATATTGGTTTCCCTTTCTAGATACAGGGGGAAATGACCGCTGTTTTTGTTAAAGTGGATCGAGACGACGGGAGGAGAGAATAAATTGATTCTCTCCTACGTCTCTCTCTCTCTCTTGGTTACTCAAAGATATGTTATATTAGGGCATCGTTCGTTCGATAAGTGATAGATATTCTTAGAGTAGTTTTAGGGTCGATTCAGATAATTGAATTTCTAATTTGAAAATGTTACCGAACGAACGATGCCCTTGTCATGTATATATATATATATATACATCCTATATGCGTAATCTGGTACATAATTTGAATAATTTTGTTCGCTATCGATTACTCGTGAGAGGTTTCGTAAATGCTTGCGGTGCTTCGGTCGCCTAATGCTCGTAAACAGGGGGTGGAGTGGACTTAATTGCTAGCTCTGGCTAAACCTAAGTGATTGATATATTATCTCTTCGAGGTCGCATCTGCATCGGTAAACTTTTTCATTAGAAAAGAATTTCGAAAGCTTAATTTTTTATGTAAATCTTTGATGTATCTTCGAAGAACGAAGGAAAATTAGGCAGAAGCAGGTGCGACCCCTTTGATCTACTTCCTCGAATCGATATTAATCTCTGAATAATTCCCATAAAGGGAATCGTTAAATTAGATAAATCTGAACCTGTGTGTAGAGTAAGATAAAAGTTCCAGTGATGGACACTCACTTTTTCAAAGGCACTGTTCCCTGGGGCCCCTGCCCTGCGCCGTTCCTGGCGTCGGTGACCCGGCAGGCCACCATACTATACGCTGAAAGCAGTTCTACAATGTTACAAGATTATGTTAAATGGGTAAGCATTCAGGTTGACAGGTGCTCGCCCAGCTCCTGCGTTACCGGGTCATTGTCCTCTTCTTTTCGTAATACCTTCTTTAACCAGAGCTCCCTATACGTAACTCTCCATTCAGGCAGATATAATTTCAATAAAGAAATTTAAAGAAGAAGAAGTAGAAGAAGAAGAAGAAGAAGAAGAAGAAGAAGAAGAAGAAGAAGATGATGATGATGAAGAAGAAGAAAAAGAAATAAAAGAAGAAGAAGAGAACATGACCAAGAGCCCAGGTGCAGGCCAGACTAGAAGAAACAACGAAGAATCGAGGCGTCTCGGTGTCCCATCAGCGGCACGATCCTACCTTTCTCCTGTTTTCGTCTTTTCCTCTTATTGCAAATCTTCACCGCGCATATGCTCAAGATGATCGCGACGATGAAGAAGAGTATACCACCGACGACACCAGCGGTGATCGCCTTGTGCTTCACTCGAGCAGGCACCGGAAATTTCACCTGCTCGCTGACCCCGTAATTCGTCGCCGAGTTGGCGAACACTTGGAAATAGTAGGTCCTACCACCGACCAGATTCTTCACTGTACTCCCCAGCCCACCGCGAAATAGAAAACAGTGAAATATTTTCGTTTAAGGAAATAATTTTTAAGATCCAACCTATCACTAATATAATAGTATCAAGAAAATAATATCGTACCCAAATAGCTGGTTTCCTCGGGTCGGATTTGTCCCTTGTTGAGCATTTTCCACGGTCCGTCCGTCTTGTATTTGATGGTGTAATATTGAATAAGGTGACTACGTTCCAGAGGGGGTTGCCAGGTTATCAGGAAACCATTGCTGATTTCTGTCACCGTGAGATTCCTGGGAGGACCTGGCTTTGGTCCTTACGATTTAAATCACGCATTAATATATTGTAGTAACATAACAAAGAGAATATGTAGATATACAACGGTATTTGCAACTCGTTCAAGAGGAGATTCACAATTTGTTTCTAGAGCAGTATCTCTTTGTTCGCGTGGCGCATTCCAGCGGCATTCTGTAATTCTACGATTATTACAGGAGAAACAACGACGCTGGTAATTGGAAATACGGCCGCTAATAAGGCTGGCAAACGAGGTCCGGAAGTAATTAGGTTCGTAACATTATGCACACAAGCAGTGACGAAAGAAGATGAGCTCACGCGAGAAGACTCGCGTCAATTTCGTCGGTCTACGACCGTGTGTCGGCTCGCTACAGTTCGTCAAGATTTATTTGCCGTCGTCGTTTCGTTTAATTGCAAAAACTGTCAGATACTGGGAAAGCAAAAAACAAACGACAAAAAATAACGCAACAATCAGGAAAAAAAAAAAGAGAGAGAGAAAAGCCTGCCTCGTGCCGCGTTGAAATGCACCTGACAATATTCGCGATTATTTGCGTACGTTAAACAGCCGGCCGTATGTACACAATGCGAATAAATGGTATTCACGTTGGAAAAGTGTAGCTGGTTACTATGTAGGTAGCCGATATTTCTGCGATTGTTTCTGTGGTATTTACAATGTCCGTATTTGTTAACTTCATTTCCGTTGCGACGAATAAATTGCTGACCACACGAACAGCTACCGTGTGTGCGTTAGGAAAATACACATACGCTTTCTCTCTTAAACGTTTAAGAGAAAAAAAGCTCGTAAGTGATAACGGAAAAATATTAGATAAAGAAAACTAAAAAAGAAATGAATACCTTTAGGTCGCATGATTGGCGGAAACGCTGGGTTGCCGGTGGAATCAGTTGGTAATATGAGAGTATTATAATCTAAGATGTCTGAAACGAAAGAAAAGAAACAAAAAAAAAAAATGGCAAAGGTGAAAAATCAGAAAAGAATGGATACAGGTGGAAAGGTTGATTATTATCGGAGGATCGTGCCGTAATAATGGGTCGCAGAAAGAGTGCAGAAGAACCAAAGAGGATCCTCGCGAATCCGATCCACCGGAATTCTCGTTAAGCTGACTGTAATCGCGTTACTCGAGACGGGTTAACGAGTTTCGAGACCGCCGATGCGTAGACAGCGACGAACGAACGTGAATGAGAAATAAAAAGAAAGATGGAGATTGAAGAAAGCTCGACAGAGATGGACGTTTTTAAACGAAACAGATGGATAGGTAAAAGTTCAGTCGCGATATCACATTCGTCCGTGGATTATTAGCGACGGCAACTCCTGATCCTGTCGTTATTAGGTAATATGGAAATGGTGGTGGTGGAAAACTGACCGGGTCGGGACACGTTTCACGATCCCACGGGATTATGAACCGAGTACAGATGTATGAAATAAAGATTTACGAAGGAAAGAAATAATGATACGCTGAATAATCTAATCGGTTCGAGTCACTTGAAATGTTTTTTTTTGTTTTCAAGAGAAAGTTTGAAGAATTTCAGAAAGTCCAACAAGTCTCGAGGTGATTCGAAATTCTAAAGAATCGTGTGGACGTGTATGTAGATGGAATGAAAAAGGATCGTTCTCTTCTCTTATTTGAAACGGGTAACGGTAAAAATCTCGGTACAAGCTCGGTGAGGAAAAATCACGGCACCGTGTGTACAAATGGAAGGCAATGAACCGGTGGATTCGAGGGAAGGAAATAAAAGCGGAAACAGAATGAACGGCTCGATGGGTTTTCCGATACGATAAGTCGCGACGGAAGTCTTCGTTCTCCTTTCTCTTTCACCCTGTCTCTCCCTTTTTCGTACATAGTTTCAACGTAACTTTGAAATTGTAGCGCAGAAACGGTGTTTCCGGGGCAAAGCTCTTCGTGCAAATCGGTCGTAAGGAGGAGAAGGAGATGGAGAAGGAGAAGGAGAAGGAGAAGAAGAGCCTTACCGAGGCATCTTTACGAAATCGTTCAACCAAGATTCTTTGTTAGCAAATGGAAGCGAGCCCGTTTTTAGGGTGAGCCTCCAGTCGAACGAACGGTTTCATACTCGATCGCGTTCGAATACAAAATCTCGTCCCTTTGATTTCAGTTGCCGCTTTTATTCCACGTGTTGAATTATTTTGATACCGCTTTACCTTGCCCTCCCTTTGAAGGAGCAAGCTACGTATAGTTTCGTCCTCTATAATTACAAGTATTAGAAGCCACCATTAGTTCCCCATCAGTTTCCAATTAGTTTGTTAAGATATTAATATGAAATAACTCCTCTCTACGTGTCGTGCTGTTTAGAGAAATAATAGAGAGGTAAATACCATCTTACCGCTTTGATCCGTGGCTGCAGCTTGACCGGCGCTCGAGGATGGAGTCGCTGAGTGCGTCAGTGCCACGTCTTCAAGGGTGAAGCGTTAGAAAAAAGAAGGAAAGAGATTGCATAGAAAAAGTATTGAATTTGTTAGACAGTTAATGCGAGGTACATGTAATAGAAGCATTAGTATTATAGTATTATAGTAAATGCGAACCGAGAATTCCGGAACTTTTACGGCACATTATATTTGCTATTTGTAGAAAAGGAAAGAAAGAAAGAAAGAAAGAGAAAAAAGGATAGATAGTGGTGGTTACCAAGCGTCCTGACGGTAATGACTTTGCTCAGCATCCCATCGCCCAAAGCGTTCTTCCCGATCACTTGGAACTCGTACAGCGTACCTGGCGTCAGTCTGTTGATCGTCACCGTTGTGCTACCAGACGGAGTCACTGGTATCGTTTCCCATTCCGACGTGCCCGACTCTCTGTACCTGTATTAAACTCTCCACCGTGATGAAAATTGAAAACCTTCGACTTGCGATGATTACACCACCGCTTACCAAATAGTGTAATCTTGCTTATAATCAGGTCCGCCAGAATAACCTGGCAGCCAAGTCAACGTGACCGAGAATTCAGTCGCTGTTCCGGACACGTTGTAAGGCGCATGGGGTTGCGTGCCTTCGACGATTAGTTGCGTCGAAGCGGATATGGTGGCCACCTCGTTCGATGCAACGCACTGATAGAAACCAAAGTCGGAACGTCGAAGGCTCTCGATCGTCAAATTACCGCCGACCATCTTGGCTCGATTACGTTGGATCGACGCGCCGTCCCTCTAACAATAAGCAATTAAATCGCAAACATGAATATCTATCGAACGGCAATGCGGACGCGGCATTGCGTACCCGATGCCACTGTATCGTAGGTTTCTGCGTGCCCTCGGCCTCTTGAGCGTCACAGTGCATCTCCACCGTTTCGCCGACCTTCTTCTGATAAATTGGTTCCGGCTCGAGGGTGAACACGGGCGGATTCCGTACTAATACCTCCATAGGACCGGAACTACCCTGTGTGCCCTGCGCGTTGTAAGGCGTACAGGTATATCGGCCTTGATGATTCTCATTGACCCGTGTAAACAGCAGGGAGCCATTGTTCATCACAACGATGTCCTTTGTCTGATAAGGCTCGAGCAGTCGCTTATCCTTCGTCCAGGTCACGTACTGAAGGGGTGGGTTCGCTTTTATATAACACTGCACCACGCCAGCCAAACGGAACGGCAGGTACTGAACTGTTGGGGTGAACGTCACCTTTGCTGAATCTGAAAATCCGAATATTTTTCGTTATATCTAAGAACAGCTAGAACAGTATAAAATTATTATAAAAAAAAGAATGCGAAAATTGCTTACATTCCACATTTAGATAAGCACTGGCACTCTGAGGATCACCAATGCCATTCGTCACTTCGCACAGATATTGGCCAGAATCATCGGCGCTGACGGGATTGATGACGAGACTGCCGTTCGTTTTGATGGACACTCTCGTGTCCAACGCCGAGACTTCCGTGACTGGAGCACCCTCTCGGAACCAACGGACCGTCACGTTACCAGGAAGAGCTTTTGCCTCGCAAGAGAACTGCACCTTCTCACCCTCCAGTTTCGTCTGATTTGTCGGGGGTACCGTGATCACTGCTCCACCTGTAAACGATAGAAACGGTAGGACATGTTAAAATTTTAACAGTCATCAAATTCCACATAAGAAAATCCAATCATCGTCGTCAACGCCAACGAAAACAAAAACGAAAACGAAAACGAAAACGATCAGTAGCTATATAGAAAACTCACGAAAACACGTTGAACGATTGTTCATCGTTGTCGGTGGGGATCGCGTGGAAAACCAGGCTGCGAAGCGACGTCGATAAATAAAGAAATTGAAAGCGAGATGAATATTCTCCATTTATCGGGAGCCGTTGATAAATGGATCGATGATGGACGCGTTTGTTATTTCAGGAATATAGTTCGCCAGGGAAAACGGCTACGAGGTGCGACCAGACGAAACAGAGTGTTTTTAGTGGCCTTTGTGGAAGTTTGCGTTTCGTTCAATTCTCCACGGCAGAGCTTTAGTTTTAAATCGGCTCGAAAGAGTTCTCTGGAAAAGGAAAGTCAGATGGCCAACGTTTTACCTAGACGACTAGACTTTTTTGCTCGAACTCTTGGCAAAAAGGATCAACAGGGTGTGCTATATCTCCATTGATATCCGACAGTTCTCCTGCTGCTGGCTCCAGCAGGAAGAATTTTAAAACTTGTGGCTTTTGCGAGGCGTCGACGACAGAAATGGTAAAAGGTGAGTGAGAGCTCCCACGTCTCACTGGCGAATATCTTCGCGTATAATGGGAAGGAATCGATCTCATCTGACAAAAGAGGAAAGTTCTTCACGGTATTCAGTAGTATCTTCTGCAATCCGATCTATCTTTACTCGTCAAGAATTAAGATGGCTTCTGCGCGTCCGTGGGAACAGCCAGATCCTCCAGATTTTTTTCTTTTCCTATCTCTAAACCTTTTAGAGTTAACGCTTTGAAGGGTGATTTCGCTTCGAAAGACAAGTTCAGTGAATCAATCGAACTTTCCGGGGCGACAACTTGGATGAAAATTAATCGCGCTTCGATTGCAGTTGCAGGTCCCTTGTCGCGGCAGTTGGTCTCGCGTCTTGCTTCGAAACAAAGCGAATTCGAATGAATCCGCTAGTCAGAAACCGCAACCGCAACCGTAACCGCGAGCATCAAACAGCGGTGAAACTTAACTGAAAGCAAGTATCTTGATAAACGGGCCAATATAACTTGATCCAATCTCACACAGTGAACCACAGTGAAGCAAAAAGTTTCCGTCTTTCTGTTTTTAACTTATTATTCCCTTCAATTTCTAACACGTGCTCAGCGACGCGACGCAATGAATTCAGAAGCGAGCAGCCTCGCTAAATATTCACTAGGTCGATTTAAAAGTTTTCCTTTCCATCTCTCAACTCGAAGCTACTCCGTCCGTCGCGTCCGTCCGTTTCATTCTTGAGAGCAATGAATTCAAGATACGTGGATCGACCATTTTGCCGCTTTACAGTTTTCTAACTTCACAGAATAAAAGAATAATCGACAATGGACATCAATTTAAAGCGAACAAAGAACGAACGGCCTGTTTTCTGATTCTCTTGTTTCTCTTTATCCCCCAACTGGGAGAAGAAGATTTTAAAAACAGCCGGAAAACTGCGAGCTCGTTTAACGATCGTTTCCGGCAATTTCACCAAGAGGCTAAAGAAGAAGAGAAGCGGGCGTGTTGGCGAGAAAAGGGTAAAATGTCGGCGCAACGGGGATGAATTTCAGAGCTAGAGCTCGGTAAATATTCAAAGTGCAGATTGAAAAGTTTCACGCCGAGCTAAAGGAGCAAGTTCGGTCCGGAGCTCGCTCGCTCGCCAGCTCGACGAGGATCCTCCGCATTAATGGTGCAGTCTGTCGGCGTTGTTTTATACGCGAACAGGACGGAGAGCCGTCTGTATACTTTGCTAGCTCGTCACTGCATGCCGAGACTCGAGCAGAGATGGCACGGTTTATTAGTCCGAAACTTATGAAGCTCGGAGAGTTCGGCGTTATCGGAGTTATCAACGACGAATGAACCTTTCCTCGACTTCAAGTGCGGTTAACGAATTGTCTAAAAGTAATAGGACACCGCGTTAGCAAGTGAACGTATTAAATCGACCAACTAACTCGTGATGATGAAGACTGCTAGTGGAAAACAAGTGAAAGGGACAAAAAAGAGCTACCCCCGTTGCGTCGCGTCCTAGAGAACAAGACAAATCGCCTTTTAACTCGCCCCTCCGCGAGAAACATCCTCTAATTGGCTAATAGTTACGATCCTCGTTTTAACCGCTTTGCCTAACGCGAGTTTTATTGCCTACATAGTATGTTTGTAGGTACTAAGGAACGATTTATGGGCTCTATTAAAATGTACACCCTTTAATTAGTCTTCTTTTCTTGGTTTGCTTCATTTGCAAACGAGCACAATTCGTTGCAGTTTGTAATAAGCCGAAACAGTTGAGATTTCCTTAAAGATAATCCCTCCTTCGAAATTATACGAAAGTCTTGGCTAGCGCCAAGAAAATCCCCGTACGAGTTACGTCGAGGTAATAACTAAGAATTCTCGTTAATTAGAATATGCGGGAGTACGGGGACACGGAAACTCGCGTACAAGTTGAAACGGCTCGACTGGTCAATTTTACGAGCGCTGCTAAGTAAGACGTACGGAGATTAAAAATGGCGTAAAAGTTATACCGTTACCAAGGACGATCTCAACGATTCCATTGGGGACGATTCAGTTAAAACGAGACTTTTAGAAGTTCCATAAAATCGCCGTTGAAAATGTAGCTGTCGTTGACCGGAACTGCAATGAAGCTCTTATCACGAGTGTGTGCCGAATCGATCGGTGATGATAGTGTTGAACGTGTACGTTCTTTTACAACCCTTAGGTATATAGTACATATCAGGTTCGCTCAGACAATGAAAGCAAGTTGAAAAAATTCCAATCGAATTTAAACAAAGCATTTAGGCATTCCTTCATTTCCTTCATTTCCTTCATTTCCTTCATTTTCAAGATCCTTTGCGGTTTCTTTAATGCAAATTCAGTAAGAAAAACCGTAGCTACCGGTTGTACCGGGAGGAATTTTCTGGCTTCGTGGTTATTGGAATTTCATTATCGGTGCTCGATCGATTACCGACTACCGAAAATACCCCGATAACTTCTAATAACAACCCGCCCGCCGATAATCATCGTACCGATCCGGCGTATATTAATTACCTATTGGCACGCGGAAAATTCTTCTCCAGCCTCGACACCGAACCTATCGAGTTCACTGAATTCCCTCCCTAAAGCTGATAAACCAATCTCTCTATCTATCCACCTACGTACATACAATATATGTAATAAAATATTTCCAACATTTTTCAAAACTCTCTGCTCTTTTGTAAATATCCGCAGTACATGGTCTACTAGATCTGCTTGTTCTCGGGAAATATGTAATTAGAAATTTTCGTTAATTGAGTCACAAGCTGAAATTGGGCCATGCTCAGGATGATTAATCGAAGAAAGCAAAAGTTATTAAACTTGATTACGTTGCCTGCACGATTTGCATATTTCTTTACAGAAAAATCTCTACAAGGAGATTTAACTCACCAGCAATTATAACGCGAGCTGTATGACTGATTTGACCCTCTCCATTCCGCGCGATGCAAGTGTAATCTCCAATGTCTTCGTTCTTGATCGTCGAGATCCTAAGCTCGGTACCATCGTTAAATATTCCGATGGTAGACGACGGTTCGACCGGATTCGCATCTTTGTACCAGAGGATTTCCGGTGTTGGCGTACCCTCCGCCTGGCAGTTCAATATTATCGCGTCGCCCACGTTCACATAGATCATCTCCTCCGGTGTTATGCTGAATTTCGGTGGCGCTATAGAAACAAACGTCACCGTAAGTTGGAATTTTTACAAACATCAAACGAATCTCTAGAAGAAAAATCAGTTAAATCAGCGTGAAGAAAAAGAAAAAAGGGAGAAAGAAAAATGGAGGCCGAAGGCGCAAGAACCGAAGAAGGCAGGGGCAACAGTTTAAGAGTGTAACACGAGCAAACGACCTGACAGAGACAACTTGAAAAGTACAAAGAGACTGGAAGCGTTTTCGCTAGCCGAGTGGGTTCTCTCTTTGACGCCACTGGCAAATCTTTAGTCGTCGCAATCGTTGCGTCCACGTTACTGTCATTCTTGTCGTCGACGACGACGACGACGACGACGATGACGTGTGGACCCGTGGGCTCAACTCGGACGAGGGAGAATAAAAAATTAAAAAAAAAAAAAAAAGAGGAAGATACACCCTAAGCCATCTAAATGCTTCTCTCCCCGCGGCTAGGCTGTTCGTCGTCGTTTTATGACCGAACAAAACGCGGCAATAAGTTTTCCCTTTTTTTCCTCTGCTTCGTTTCCATCTGTCGCGTTGGCGTCGCGTCGGTTCAATGACCCGTTCCCGTTGTCGACGTTGACGTAGTTTCGTTCAGATTAGTCGATTTTACTGGACAAAAAGAATTGATTCTTCTTCGTCTGTTTCGCATCACTTTTATATTATATCAGTCACGTATATAAAAATTCGCTGAAACCTTTGACGAAAAACGAAAAACTTGTCGTAAAAAGAAGTACATCGCTAGAGGCGTGGTCGTAAAATCTTCTTAAAGCACAAGGTAATATTAATGAGGCTGCTTCGAGATGGAATCGATGTAGCTTTTACGATGAAGCTCAGTCGGATAGAAGAAAGTTTTCAGTTAAATTGCGTTCGCGGAAGAAGCGGACCTCTATTACCCGTAGTTAAGTCTTTTTTAATCGATCTTGCGACGCGCCGCGCCATGGTAATCGCATTTCTCGACGCTAAAAGTCTTCCACCAAAGTGAAAATTTCAACTTAAACGTGAAATTTTTCAACGTAAATGTAATATAACGTTTCAGGAGGCTAGGATAGTTTGACCGATTAGGTATCACGCGATTAGGTTGATCAATCGTGTAGAAAGAGGGATACCTAGGATAATCGAATTAATAATATGTTGTACGTAGTCTGAAATACTCACCGTGAACATCCAGATGGAACCAGGTACCATTCTTGTTACTGTTTGGCGATCTGTTGAGGAAGACGATCTTGCACTCGTACCATCCTTGATCGCTTTCACGGATGTCGGTCAGGTTGAGACTCGCCACGCCATACGGTGAATTCGGGCTCACCCTCGAGACTCGACCTTCGTAACCCTCGCCACTGTGAGTCGGATACGACTCGTACCATATGTATATCGGTATCTCCTGCCCCTTGCACCAACACCAACACGCAACATAAACGAGGGATCGTTATGAACGCGTACATACTGGTGCGAGACTCTTTTATTTATTCCCCAATGTCAGCTGGCTAACTCGATTCCTTCAAGATGTCTCGGATAGAATAGAAATTCGTGCTCGCACCAGATGACGACTCGTGTGAAATGATAAATGACGAGACAGAGGATGCAGCGTGTGTGTTAAGAGCGGAAACGATCAAGAGCGGACAACGAGTTGGCAAGCTTCTTTTCCGCGTGAACGGCTGAACGTAACGAGGACAAGGTGTCCTTCTTTCTTTTAATTCAACGCGGCGCAAGAGGAATTCTCTGAAATTTTTATGCTCGTTACGTTCGCCCTGCTCGAGGATGTCACGACAACTGTCATTTTCCATGCAACCCTCTATGGGCAAACAAAGGAGCTCGCTTGTGCACACCGATGAAAAAGTAATCCCTAGACAGAGGCATGCGTGAATAGAGAAAAGGCGATGCTGGAAAACGAGATCGGACTATGCCTGAAATACGTGCCATGCTAAAACCATCATCGATCTTCGAATACAAAACGAATTTGTGAAATAAATACAGATATAGTATTATCTGTAAAGGTAAAGGGGTGTTTGGGGCATGCAAACAATGGATCGATATTCTGATCAGTTTCTCAATTATATCATTAAAGCGTTTATATTGTAAAATGAATGAATAAATAAAATGTAGTGAGATTAAAAGTGTAAGATGTAATGAAAATAAAAATCACTTTCTTTGCCTCGATTTATTTGCTCAGATACTTGATCCAATTGATCGAGCTAATCGAAATCGAGCAATATCCGTGTCGAGAAGTAAGAAATTGTTCGTAGAGGCGGTAGGCTGGCACGAAACGGAGCTATTCTACTGGCGCGCGTTTCGCACCCATGCCATGTCGCAGTGAAAATAGACGGTAAGTAAGTAGGTGTATCTCTACTTTTTGCGCGTTCGTTGCCAAGCTTGAGCCAATCGTTGACGCGATATCGCGTGCTTCCGAAAACGGAAGGAAGCAGAAGTAAAGAATTCGAGAAGGAGCAAGAAAACTCGGAAACGCGCCACGAGCATCGTACGTTGACCATTGACTGCCCCAGTTGACCCAGGTTTCTATTTCGAGCTGGCCTACTTGCGACGACGAACGTCGTCGTCGTCGTCGTCGTCGTCGTCGTCGTCGTCGTCGTGCTTGCAAACGCAAACCACTGTGATTTCAATATTATTCTCCCTCGAGCGGCACGAGACTCGTTCGATATTGCGATTCCGTAGCAACTTGTCGCCCGCTTGCTCTCCATCCACCCGATGAATGTATACACATCGTATCCCACCAAACAATGGACGAGCACGCGTTCCCGCGTCCCGATGCGTCTCGAACCGTCTCGAACCAGAGAAAACAATTGCTTCTCTTTTTTCCAGTCTAAAAATTCTTTTTCCTACGGCTCGTTCGGTGGCGTCGCCTCGTACTACTATGTATGTACACCACCGTGCGGTGGTAGAAAATAAAGAATTAAATGCCAACGAGTTGGTCGCGCCTCATTTCGAGCAACGCCACCGGTCTCTCGCTGCTTCCATGAAACAATGAGAACCAGGCCGAGTACTAACAATAAGACTCGACGCTTAAACGCGTTTCTTCTCGATTATGTGACTACATATATGTATATAAATACAAGTGATACAAGCTTTAAAATATACCGCTCTTTCGACTCGTTCAAATAACACCATGGCACGTGAAAATCATAAAGAAACTATTATTCTCGAGGAAGTGGGAATATTTCTCTTCGCAACGTAAAGAAGAGTCAGATTTAAGATGTCGCGGAATTAATAGATTGAAGAAAATAAGAGGTAGAAAAAATAGGCGGAGCGAAGAGGAACGCACGAAACTGGAATAAATTACGGATCTGAATGGCACTTGGAAATGAGAGCGGGCAGGCTATGCTTATTTTCTCGAGCAGTTTTTCGATCCGCGAAAGCAGACGAAAAAGGGTGGGAAAACGTTGGAACGTTGAAAGGAGAGGGAAAAACACGGTACTCTCAGCTAGGATATACATATACGGATTCTGTCGGTAGCTAGGAGACTGAGCGGAATAAGTCGGGGCGGTTTCGCGTGAACGCTCCACGCTTACACCTACGCGGCCACCGCTCATCTAGGTCAGGTGTCTTTGCTTTATTTCCCTCGGTCCTTTTGTTTCGCCCCGTACCAGAGCCGATTTAACGATCCCGGATATCTATGTATCTGCAAGATTAATCTCTGTATCCATCGGCGTTCCATTACCCATTACCCATTACCCATTACCCATTACCCATTACCGACTATGTAACACACAAGGCCACTAATTTACTACCTTTCTTCAATGCTAACTGGAATTATTTTCAGTCGACGACGTAAGCGATATTTATCGTTTATTTTCACGCGCTGCGAATATGTATGTGCATAGATGAAGAGGAAAAGCGATACGTGTGAAAAACATGCGCGTTATTCCGCTTCGAAACATTTCTGAAACCAAAACACCCAAACTTTTCAGCCGTCGTCATCGTCGAACAATGAAATTCGATAATTCATGCGGAATAAAAACGACACTGTCCAAAGAAAATAAAGCACGCTGTCGGATCCTGGCCTGGGGATTCTCCCTAAGGGGACACGCCAGGAAAGCGAGAGAACTTGAGGAAGAATCGAAAGCCGCATGCGGTACGTGTTGCGGAAATTTTCATAATTCATTGCCGGACCGAACAACTCTATCCAATTTTTTTCTCCACCTGCAGGAGGATCGATGTTTAAGATGGATTCTCCTTTCCTCTGGAGATCCAGATGAATTTCATTTTCTTTTTTTCTTTTTTTTTTTTCCAAAATATGTATAATAAGTGATTGCGAATAGTAATCGAGATTTGTAACAAACAATCCGTAGGATGAAGATTCTCTTAATCGTAGCAGATCCAAATTATTTTAATTGAGATACAAACGAATATCATCAATGGACCAAAGCTTAATAATTGTTTTACAGCCGATAATAATGTGATGCGTAGCGTAGTTCTTGTTAGTGGTTTCGAGAAACAGAAATGCTGGAATTTCCGTAAAGTTTGTCGGTTTACACGGCAACTACAACGCGGCAAGTTCCAGGGAAACTTATCGCGAGGATATCGCTTTCACGAAGGACAATTAACTCCAACACCCCGGTAGAACTAAGACGCTCTAAGAGAAATAAATACCTTCGAATGGGTCTGCAATACAAGCCGGATCGGTGTTATGAAACGACGATAACAACAACTCGACGCTCGAGTTTCTCCTCCAATTTCGTTACACTTCCGAGATAAAAACAGAATTGTCTCTGTACACCCTGACACCACGTGTGCCACGAAATTTTTCCAGTTGCAAAAGCGAGCCGAAGAGAGTGTCTCGCGGAGAAAGGATCACGACTCGTTATACATACATATATCCGGGTGGGTACGCGATCTGCGGCATTTCCAGGGTCGCTGACGGAACCGAGAAATATCCTCCTGACAGAGTAAACGTGCCGCGAGTGTTTGCGTTCAGCCAGTGAATTCCTTTTTGCCGTTTCAACCGAGAGAGAATAAGGCCGCGAACGCGAGCAACCAGAATATGTACCCGTCAAGGGTTCTCACGCATTCCGACTCTGTATCAAGCTCGATTTTGCGCCACCTTTTAGAAAGGATTCTTTAAATCCGACCTGAAAAGCCGCGAAACGATCTTTCGTTTACGAGCAAGTGCTTCTTTTCTATGAATTCGTGTTTTTAGAAAACGAATTAGATTTCATCTATTTCTTCTTGGTATAACGGTGTAGCTGAAACTAGCGCAAAAATAAAAAGAACACCCTTTGGGTTTATTCCTGCAGTTGACTATATACTCTCTTAACTGTTATTACCTCTACTTTGTACACAAAAGCAGAGGCAAGAGTTATCATTCGAAACAATTCTTCAGAGGTGAATACCGATCTCGAATCAAAGTCGTGGATGGAAAGAGATTCGCGGCTCGAGTTTCGCTAATTATCTCGTTAGGTGGCTCATTCTCGAGGGTGGTATTAATAAGAAGAATGTCAGAAAAAGGAAGACCGAGCTGCCAATTAGCGAATATAACGAGCGGCGTAGCGTGGAATGGCGCGGAATGGCGCGGAATGGCGCGGAATGGCGTGGGTAGTCTCACGGAGGGAGAAGCTCAAGCTTGAAATCTGCAGGTGAAATCGAGACCGTCGACAAGAGGGTGGGAGGTTAACCCTGACACAGTTGAGTAGTTCAGCCTGGTCTTCGTGCCCCTCTGCATTATGCATGTAGACCTCCTAACCTCTTACAGTAACGCACCCCCGCATCATTCTGAACGACTTGGGGTCTCGGCAAATGGACAAGTCTTCCTTTAGTCCTCGTAATGTAAAAGAACAGAGTATTTCAATGGAAATACTAAAAACAACCTGGGATCATTTACGTGATTCAGTCGCGTTTTCTTTTTGCTCTTTGAAAATCTAAATTCTAGAAAGGTACCTTCAAATCCAATAATATTGTAAATGGAATAGGTAGACCAAGTGACTGACTGCCATGTAGATGACAAGGGTTTCTCACCCATTCCCAGCTAGTGACAAATATTAGTACACCCTACTATGACTCTCAATGATAGAAATCAAATGCAAAAAGAAGATCGAGTCAGGTTGACCGGAAACAACAAGTATACCCAAGGTTACGAGCCAACCATTCAACTAACAAGTTTCACGGATATCCGGTGAACACTAGGTGTTTGCGAAAGGAAAGCTCACGACGTCCTGCACGGAAGGAAGGAAGGAAGGAAGGAAGGAAGGAAGGAAGGAATGAAATCGAGCTACCAATGTCGGACGTCAAACACACAACCCTGTTCGCTGCCGCGCCGGCTGGTGGTTTATGTAATGTAAAACCGACCTGCCACGCGGGGGTGGTTCTCTACGTTGTCCTATTTTTAAGCCAACTACGGGTTAACCGGGTAACACGTTCAATCGATAACGCGAGAGC